CCCGCTGAACGATAGAAGGAAGCGGGTGTTCGTCCGTCCGGTAATGTGGGTGTGTGTGGGTGTAGGAGGGTGTGTGTGTGGGTGTAGGAGGGTGTGTGTGTGTGTGTGTGTGTGTGTGTGTGTGTGTGTGTGTGTGTGTGTGTGTGTGTGTACTTTACTTCCACACCTGTGAATTATGGCCTGATTTATGTCTCTTAAACTGTGCGGTGGCTGAGTGGTAACAGCGATCATCTCCTTTACTAAGAGTCCTTGGTTTGCACTGAGGGGCACCTAAATATACAGTTGAGGAATTGAAGTGGGTCGAGTAAAGTGCCAACCACACCACCGCCTACCTTAAATATTCCTTCAGTATCCTGTATCTAACTTGGGTTAGATTAAGGTTTGGTAATTCAACCTCTTAATTACCTTGTTACATCTGCACTTAGGATAAATTCTCAACTTGGGGACAGTTTTTTGAGGGGGGAGGGAGGGAAGATGGTCAGAACTCAGGACGTTTTTTCTGGGTCAATTTGTCAGTACAGTTGACCCTTCTCATATTAAAAGATTTTTTTTTTTTTTTTACCGGATTTATCTTGAGTATTCTGCTTATCAAGATAGTTCAGGCGAGATTCTGCTCCAATTCGTATGTTAAGTAATGGGGCGCCGTAGTTTGTTTGGGGAGGAGGCTGTTGGTGTGGGGGTGTGTGGGGTATATAGGAGAGAGAGAGAGAGAGAGAGAGAGAGAGAGACTGAGAGAGGAGCTGAACGCCAATGAGAGGAGAAGTAAAAATGTCGAGAGAAAAAAAGAACAATGACAAGGGGAAGAGAGAGAGAGAGAGAGAGAGAGAGAGAGAGTTAGTTACCAGTCTAATCATCACAACTCTCTCAAGCACATCGCCCATGACCGGACAAGTTCATCTGCAGTTTGTCGAGTCATGAAGAAACATATAACACTTTAATGCCTCACTTGACCTGACTCTATGCTACCTAGAGCTGTAATGTCCTGTGAAGGGGATGATAGAAGTTGGTTAGGTTACGTCCTACCAAACCTAACCTAACCTAACCAAAATTTTCTCTGCAGCTAGACCCTATTAAATGGCTGAGGGTATACCAGTTTATTTTATCCCACGGTGAAGAAACACAGCGATGGTTCACACACACACACACACACACACACACACACACACACACACACACACACACACACACACACACACACACACACACACACACACACACACACACACACACACGCACACGCACACACACACACACACACACACACAACTTTATCCGACTTCCCCCGGTAGTACTGTGCCTTATGATGTGTGTAAACGTAAGAGAGACGTGAGCAGTGAGACCAAGTAAGTGTTGTTTAGTCTGTACACGTAGACGGTATTGGTTCTAAGCCGCCAGTCCGCGAGACATAGATTTGATCCGAGGCCAGGCAGGGTCAGAGGAGTATTGTTATGTATTGTGTAGACTGAGTGGAGTCGCTTTACAATTGTGTTCAGGACCCTTAACATCACCCACCCACCCCACCCCACCCTACCCTACCCCACCCTACCCACCATTGCCCCACCCTCCACCCCAACCCCACCCCATCCCACCCCAACCCCCACCCCACCCACCACAACCCCACCCACCCCCTCCACCCCAACCCCCACCCCATCCCACCCCAACCCCACCCATCCACCCCAAACCCAGCCCACCCCACCCCCCACCCCACCCCACCCACCCCCACCCCACCCCACCCCGCACACCCCCACCCCACCCCACCCACCCCACCCCACCCCACCCTTACCCCACAGCAGAAAGTTGTAAAATCATCCACCAAAGGAGTTGTCATAAAAGGTGTCAGGTTCACTGTAGGGAGGTGTAATATAAGGTAGTAGTTAAGAGGAGGGTAATAATGTACTACGTGTAATTGGGGAGTCGAGGTGGGGTCCGGTGGCAGAGGATCTCGTGGTCTATGAAGGCTATGGGGTTGAAGGCGTGAAATTAAACTCTTAAATGGAAATGTTGTGTCTTGATGTACTGAATGGGTCACACACACACACACACACACACACACACACACACACACACACACACACACACACACACACACACACACACACACACACACACACACACACACACACATACACACACACATCCCTTCAGGTGTCCCCCAATTACTGCAGGATGATAAAAAAAAAACAATATCCAGACGTGTTTTTTCCCAATCATTCGGTATCACACGTATTTTTCCCCCCCTCTGGTGAGCCATTAATTGAGGACCCGTGTGTGAATAGCTGCTGGAATGGATTTTCTATAAGCAAAATATTCCCGGAGAATAAGAGACGAAACCGAGGATAAATTCTTTAAAAAAAAACATCAATACAGTGTGAGGATCTGAGTTTAATGTTGTAAAGAATGTTGTAAGGAATGTTGCCGTTTCCTTCTTTAATGTTGTGTAATGTTGATTTGGTTCGTATATGCAGGATGTGGTGGTATACCTTACTGAGGCTGATACGAGGTGGTGGAGGGCGAGGAGGGAAGGCTTAGCGTTCGTCCTCGCCTCCATCGACAGCAAGGAGGAGAGGGATTGGAGGAGGGATTGCAGGAGGAGGAGGAGGCGGAGGAGGATAATAATGTTCATCCTCGCCTCCATCGACAACAAGAGACAAGGAGAGAAGGGAGAGAGAAAGACAGACGACAGAGAGACAGTATCGCCCCTCCTCGCCCCTCCTCGCCCCTCCTCGTCCCTTCACCGACGACAAAACTCATTTACCTCCTTGGTGAGGGGTGGGGTGGGGTGGGGGGGGGTAACCCGTTCATTTATCTCACAGGACACAACACTGGAATAAGAGGCGAACATTACTCACACACGGCGACATATAACCCCGACAGGGACGCCTTTGACTCCTAATCACTCCTCTAACACCCGGACTTATATCCAATCTTAACCAATCAGCTAATCGTTTTTTTTTTTAGATTACAAGTTTATAACAGTCGATCACTCTGAAGAAGATTGCTGTCAATTTTCCTCACAAAGACTTCCCCTAGTAAGAGCCGAGGGGGTGGGGGTAGGGGGGTGGGGTAGGGGGTGGGGTAGGGGGGGTGGGGGGTGGGGGTGAGGAGGCAGACGACAGGGCGTTAAAAAAATAGAAGAATTTAATCCCCAGACATTTTCTCCAATAACGGAGCTGTTTGTAGCCACACTTAAAGTCTGTCACTTCTAAAATCGGGGAGTTTCCAGCAAGCAACCAAGTGACGTCTCGTATATCCACCTTAGTGCGTTGTTTTTACTCGTGTGTGTGTGTGTGTGTGTGTGTGTGTGTGTGTGTGTGTGTGTGTGTGTGTGTGTGTGTGTGTGTGTGTGTGTGTCGCTATTACCGCCTAAGATACTGGATTGGTGTACTGTAACTGTATGTCTCTCTGTTTAATCTTTTAGTGGTGTTGACTTTAGAACAAGCACACACACACACACACACACACACACACACACACACACACACACACACACACACACACACACACACACACACACACACACACACAGCGCGGTGATAGATTATAGGATCATGTCAAATTTTGTGAGATTTATTGATCGTGTATATAGTTGTCGACGAGATCCCCTTCCTTACTACTCCTCCTCCTCCTCCTTCTCCTCTCTACCCATCACCTCGTCTTTCATCGTCTTCCCCCTTTTCCTCATCGTCAACTTTCCCCCCTTCTCTCTCTCTCTCCATTTTTTCCCTCCTCTGCCCCTCGTCATTTCCTCCTCATGCCCTCATTCCCCACACACTCCTCCGGGTCATTATCACTCAACATTGGCGACTGAGATTTATTGGTGCTCAAATGGTCCTTAAGTGTAAGAGAGAGAGAGAGAGAGAGAGAGAGAGAGAGAGAGAGAGAGCATTTTGATATACAGTACTTTCAATTTTTTGGTGTGTGTGTGTGTGTGTGTGTGTGTGTGTGTGTGTGTGTGTGTGTGTGTGTGTGTGTGTGATGTGTGTGTGTGTGTGTGTGTGTGTGTACGCGTCTATAAATCCACACCTCTCCTCCTCCTCCACACAAACCTCGCCAGTGACAAGATCTGGCTTCGTTTCCCTGGCCGGATGGAACCTTGAGTCGAGTCCTTTGCTTTCGATCTACGCCATTAACGTCTGGGTCTAGCCGGATGCAAATCGATTAATGGACCATGTACCGGTTTTGGTGGGGGGGGGTGTTAGCCTGTGCGGTTGGTGAGGCTGTCCAATATTGGTGGGTTTTCATTGGGCAGCGAGTTCCAGTGTTCTGCCCCCAGGAAGGACAAAGGTCAGTGGATGGGAACTAACACTCGGAGGTCTTTCACAGTGTATTATCGAGTGTAGTCTGGTAAACCTTCACCCAAAAATTTTATTCCTAGGATGATGTAGACTATTTCTCTTGTCCTTCCTTGAGAAAAAAATATATAACCCGTGAAGATTGGAAACCCCAGCTTATTTCGTCTTAAGATTAACCTAACCTCACCAACCTAACAAGCCTCTTTGACCTTGTTGCACGTAAGATTTGTCAATAACTGTGACAAGTATGTAAAGGTCAATCATAATCATCGTCATTTGAAACTTTTGAAATACCATTCGTCTTGTGTGTGTGTGTGTGTGTGTGTGTGTGTGTGTGGTGATTGTTTATGTACCTTGTTCAGTGTTACGGTATAGTGTGTGTTTACCTGGGTCATTATTATGGTAGTGTGTGATTAGTGCCTATTTACCTGGGTCAGTGTTAAGGTAGTAGACTGTCGTGCTTACTCACCTGATTCGGTCTTAATTATGGTAGTATGGTAGCATTTACTCACCTGGGTCAGTGTTAGATAGGTTAATTATGGTAGTATGGTAGCATTTACTCACCTGGGTCAGTGTTAGATAGGTTAATTATGGTAGTATGGTAGCATTTACTCACCTGGGTCAGTGTTAGATAGGTTAATTATGGTAGTATAGACTTACCTGTGTTATTACCCGTCATGGTACAGTAGAATGGTAACATCCACTCACCTGGTTCAGGGTTGCCAAGACTGGTGTTAGCAGGACATAAGGAGACTAGCAGTGTTGCCAAGTGGAGGATGAGCAGGTGTAGTGTTGCCAGCTGCATGATTGGAGGCTGAGGTTTAGGTCAGCTGTGAAGCACCATCACTCTCATCTCATTCTCGAGGCATATCTCTCTCTCTCCCTCTCACTCACAGGGCATCTCTATCTTTCTCTCTGTCTCTCACTTAGTCCTTCTCTCTCTCACTTTGTTGATTTATCTACAAAGACACAATTTTCTCTTTTTTCTTCACTGTCGGTTGGTTTATTTTATTTGTTTTTTGTAATTATTGGTTTATTATTGTCACTTTAGTCTGTATTGTTTATCATTTATTCCTTATTATTTTTTTCTCAATCAGAGTTAATTGGCAGGTACACTTTACATCACCTGTATGGACGATAATTTATTCTACTAGTTAGTCCATTACTGAATAAATTCCCGTGTATGTATATATATATATATATAGTTCATCACAGTTCACTAATTTTAATACATTCCTGTGGTGTTCAATTAACTGTATATTGTCTCGGTATGAACAATTTCACTCTTGTTTAGTTTCTGTCTTTGTTCAACTGTTCATTGTGGGATTTTTTAATTATTTTTTTGTGAGGGGGGGGGGGGTATTGCATCCTGGTTTTTTTGTGTTCTTGTTTTAGAAATGTTTTTGTTTTGGCGGCTGGGCTATCACATCACTGTTTAATTGGTCCGTTGTTTTCCTTCATGAACACCGTATTGCGACTTTTTTGTGTTCTACTGAAATATTACATTGTTATATTATGGTTGTATATATATCATTGTTATTTGTTTTTGTTATATATAATTATGTTGTGTGTTGTCCTTTGTTGTTCTTCTGTGTTCTATGATGTTATTGGGTTATTGTTTTTCGTGTGTGTGTGTGTGTGTTTGTTCTACAGTCAGAGTGTTGTTTTAGTGTCACAGTGATTCAACACGTCACTTAACCCAGCTCCTTTCTGTGCCTCATAGCTCATAGAGTGAGTGGTTCTTCTATGCCATTAACTGTCTATGTACCATATTATCACGTGGCACTGTCTGTCTTCTCGTGGATGAGTGGAATGACCGTCACACCACAATAGTTATGTCTCTCTCCACGCCATTAAGACCCTGATGGTGCCGCAGGTAGGTCATGCCATAAAATTCCTGTCCTGGGGTCGCTGCTCACTGCACATAAAACTCCTGCCGATGAAAACAAAATAAGTCATGGGCGGTAAATCGACAGTAAACAGGCAGAAAGACAAAGTTGTTTACATATATTTAGGGTCACCTGAAGTTTACACACCCAAGGGTTTAGGTAGTTAGATGGAGACAGGAGAGAGACAGATAGATACAGAGACATAAACAGATAAGAAAGACAGATGCAAGGAGACATATTTGACATACAGATGAGGAAGAGACACACAGACATACAAAGAGACACATAAACAGACAGAGAGAGAGACACAAACGAGGAAGAGAGACAGACAGACAGACACAGACAGACGAGAAAGAGACAGACAGACACAGACAGACGAGAAAGAGACAGACAGAGACACAGACAGACGAGAAAGAGACAGAGACACAGACAGACAGACAGACAGGAGGTGTGCCAGGAGGGAGTAAATCAATTATTACTGTTTCCTCCTAACAGAATTAGCCGCGTCCTCTGTCTTACACATGGTGGCTCGCTCTATACACACACACACACACACACACACACACACACACACACACACACACACAAACATACACATATACAGAGATACAGACAAGGATACGCACACATACTGGTATATAGACACACACACACACACACACGCGCGCGCGGACAGGTAGATAAAACAGACAAATACCCACAGAGAGAGAGATTCCAGTACAACTTATGAAAAAATATGAATTTAATCTCAGATTGTCGTTCCTAGATGTAATTGTTGTTGCTGTTTTTTCTTTGTCTCTCTCTCCTTGTGACTTGTTTTTTCCCCTTCCTGTGTCTTATTTTCCCCGTCTTTTTTTCCTACCTGGGTCTTGTTTTGTTTTTTCCCTGTGTCTTGGTCTTTCCCCCCTATATCTTGTATTTTTTCCCTCAGTGCCTCGGGTTTAATAATCGTGTCTCGGGTTTTTTCCCTAACCCTGTCCCCGGAACAGCATCTAATCTTAACTTATTCACCCGCGGGAAGAATCATATTTAAAAACAAACTCAATATTTATACCAGGTAATATTAACAGTAAAGTGACTCCTAAGTCTGTTTAATCTAGTTCTCAGTGACAGAGAGAGAGTGGTATTAGAATCCTTTTGTTGTTTATAGACGAAGAAGATGGCAGTCGGTGTCGATCTTCTTTTGTTTTGTTGTTTATAGACGAAGAGGATGGCAGTCGGTGTCGATCTTCTTTTGTTTTTTATATAAATTTCTGGATATTTAAAGTGAATTGGATTCCTATGCGATGATATTTTGTTATGTTATTTGGGTGGAGGAGGTGGTGGTGGTGGGGTCCATCTCTCAGTTCTCTGGGGTCCGTCTCACATCTCTCTGGGGTCCATCTCTCAGTTCTCTGGGGTCCGTCTCACATCTCTCTGGGGCCCGTCTCGCATCTCTCTGGCCCCCGCTCCACCGTCCTCCTACTCCTCCCTCTGGGTCGGCCCTCTGCTGCAGTCATCCATCCTCCTCTCAGTTCAGGAGTCTTTAATGTTAGTCCATTTGTTGTTGCTTTTACAGCGAGGTGTAGCCATCAGGGTAAGCGGACTGGCGTAAAGACCTCTGGGATGCTAGGTGCTATACAGATGTACAAAAGAACACGTGACAACCTCTTAAAACAGAGTGAAACCTAACCTAACCTTATCTTATCTAACTGAACCTGACCTGACCTGACCTAACCTAACTTTGGTTGACGGAGTGACCAAACACAGTTGACCTGGTTTAGTATGTGGCTTAGCACTGTTTACTCCGACTATCGTGTGAAGGAGAAGGTAATCGACTCCACTAGAACATGTTTTTAACTCTGAAGGGATTCGACTCTTTTTTTTTCCACGTGGATAACTTACCTAACCTAACCTAACCTAACCTAACGTAACTAACGAACGAGCGAACGAAAGAATCATTAACGAACGAACTTACTTGACAGCACGACTCGAGAACAAAAACAGATACAGAGTTAACACTCTCTCTCTCTCTCTCTCACACACACACACACATAAAAGCTGCACCTCACACACACATACACACACAACACCAAAACACATTGGTTGGAAAAAAAACCAGATTTATTTCAGAATATTACCATCTCTTGCCTTTTTAACAAGCGTAATCCGCCTTTATCGCGGTAATATAGTAATTCTTTGGTGTTGTTACAACCTGAGGGAAAATTCACAACATCAACATCATAACTTTCTTTGTTATTTTTGTTGTGGTTGACATGTTGTTTGCCAGAAATCCACACACACAATCTTGAAATCCACATATATACTTTTGGAATCCACATATATACCAGTATAATATCTCCACCAATCCTCATTTACACCAACGATAAGCAAATCCACTGAATCCTTACGTAGTGTGGTGGAAAAGATGTAAAATTGGACTTTTTTTTTAACCTTTCTTACTTTTTTTGTAGAGTAAACGCCTTATCTTCTTTCATTTTCTCTCTTTCTTTCACTTCTTGTTGCTCTGTCTCTTTTTTCTTATTCTTTCTCGTTTTATTTGATATCTTGTTCTCTTTTTTGTAACCTCTTCATGTTTTTCTTTCTTTCTTTCTTCAACTCCACCTTCAACCTCAAATGACTATGTAAAAAAAAAGAATCCAAAATTAAGGAATAGAAATTGACCCTCAACTCTATAGTCTCTAATCATTATCAACCAGCTTGTGCCTTCTACTCACAGACAGACAGACAGACACAGACAGACAGGTGATCTCGTTCTAGGTTGTCATACGTCATCTGTTTGGATTTCCACGGTAGGGGGGGGGGGTGTCATAATAAACGAGAATATATGTTGACAAGGGAAGGTTTGGTAATTTGGTAATTTGGTAGTTAAGGAAAAAATTGAGGAAAGAGGGTGGAGGATTTGTGCACACTTCGTTGGTGTCTCGTTCGTGTGGGGGCAGTTGTGGTGGCAGTTCTATATACAGGGTTATGCAAAATAAAAAAAAAGTGACCAGGGTTTAATTGGTTAGTTATTAAAATGGGTAATTTTTTTTGGGCATGTTTTTGAGTGGCACTGTATGTTGTTTCTATATGTGTGATTTAATTTTTGTTTGTCAGATATATGTCGTCAGTAGGAGTAGTAGTAGTAGTAATATTAATAGTAGTAGTAGTAGTAGCGTAGTAGTAATAGTAGTAGTCGTAGTAATAATAGCAGTAGCATATTTTGTGTTAGGCAAATTTCCCAAAGTTTGTCCTGTGTAAATCTGTAAAACTCCGCTGTGCTGGGGCGTATATACAGTATATATATATATATAGCGGGTCATATTAACGTCATTACACCGGGAAAGGTTTACAAAATGAGTTATATAAAGCAACTCTTTGTCTAATATCCTCCACCATTATTATGAAAACTTTGTATAGTGTATGGTGTATTTTTTGAAGACTTTTATTATTTTTATCTCTATTTCTCTCTCGGATTACTTTTTTTCTATCTTTCTCTCTCACTCTCTCTCTCTCTCTCTCTCAACGTTAATATCTCCTTTCTCTCTTTCTTTCTTCCTTCCTTCCTTCCTCTCAATGCGAAAAGACACACACAGACACACACACACACACAGACACACACACACACAGACACACACACACCCAAAGGTCTCATTATTACTTCTGAACCCAAACAAACACGAGTTGTATAATTTCTTCAACACAGACGTGGGAACAGGACACCGTGAACTCAGATGTACCCAAAAATAATTAATCAAATGCAGTTAAAAATAAAGTTAATTTTTTTTTTTACAGGAGTATTCTGTTTCCAAACCCGATGCTTTTTTTTGTCAACACGGCGACTGTGGGTTTCCCGTGGACGATAGAACATGGGGGGAAACTTGATTTAATTTTTCCATGGTAACTTTAAACTCTCGGTCGAATACATGAAAACAAAAATGAAGGGAAAAAATAATCAGTGTGGTTGGAAATAATCACAGTGATTGAAGAGTAAAGGGAAAATTTCGGTTTTTTTAATAATTGATTGAAAGCAGCTTGATGGAAAGTCTTTAGTCATTATACCACATACCCACATACTCTCGTACCCACATACTCAACATACCCACATACCCAACATACCCACATACCCAACATATCCACATACCCTCATACCTACATACTCACTTACCCTCATACTCTCATACCCTCATACCCCCATTCCCCACATACCCACATACCCACATACCCTCATACCCCATATAACCACATACCCTCATACCCTCATACCCTCATACCCTCATACCCCATATATCCACATACCTCTCACCCACATACCCTCATACCCACATATCCACACACCCTCATACCCCCATAACCTCATTCTTACATACCCCTATACCCACATACCCTAATACCCACATGCCCTCGTGACAGCTTCTGGGAGGAGATAAAAAGAACTTGACATATCACTTCAGAAACCACAAGTCAAGACAATAATTTGATGTAAGCTGCTTAACTTTTTCCTCTCGCCTTCTTGCAACACCGTGAAGAGTATTTTAAAGGCATCTTGCACAACTTAAATGGCTCTGGAAATTAATAGTGACGTCGGGGGTCTTGTTTACACTATTGGGTCTTGTTTATGCGGTCTGGGGTCTTGTTTACACGGTCTGGGGTCTTGTTTATATGGTCTGGGATCTTGTTTACATGTGGGGTCTTGTTTATATGTTCTGGGGTCTTGTTTATATTGTTTGGGGGTCGTGTTTATATGGTCTGGGGTCTTGTTTACACGGTCTGGGGTGTTTTAGATGAGTGTGTAAGGGGCAGGGGGACTGTGTATGTGTGTGTGTGCGTGTATGGGGAGAGGAGGGGGAATCTGTTTGTGTGTGTGTGTGTGTGTGTGTCCAAAGTCGTTTGCATAATAATTAAGGATTTTTTTCAAGTCATTTACATAAACTACCTTTGTGTTTACTGATGATTTCTTGATATTAATTACATAATCACGAAAACAAAAACAGAGTTGAACGAAGCAGAAAACTTTGCCCCCCAGAATTATATAGGCCTATTGTACATGCCTATGGAACCTATTTTTCGCTTTTCAGTATCATCTTGTGGAAATCAATTAAGCAATATAAGAATACAGGTAAAATAATGTTTATCTTTAGAAAATGGAAAGAGATTAATAGATGAAATATTCCTCTCTACTGGCAAAGGAAAGTGTTTGACTAGTGCTTGCTACCAGTGTTGACATTTCGTGTGTAAAACATTGCAACCAAATGGAAAACAAATTGATAGAAACTCTGGCCTGCTCCAATATGCATAGAAATAACCGTGGTGGGAATAACACGGTGGTAGTAGACAGTAACGTGGGGTGATTTTCTCTTAGTTGAAGTGTAATATCGTGTGGGTTAAGGGATTGGTTGGTGAGATATATTGCTCGAGGAACAGATCGAGAGTTGGTGCAAGATGATCCCTGTACCGGTCCCATGAGGAAGGAGGAGAAAGACCATTGACCAGATTGATTTGTGGAATGGGAATTTGCACAATATTCCAAGGATTCGTGGTTCGGTGGTTCGTTGGTTTGGGGTTCGTTGGTATGGGTTCGTTGGTTTGGGGTTCGTTGGTTTGGGGGTTCGTTGGTTTGGGGGTTCGTTGGTTTGGGGTTCGTTGGTTCGGAGGTTCATTGGTGCATAGGAAATTTTCGATAACGTTACGTAACCTAACCTAACTTAACCCCTCCTAGGTAGCGTTAGGGTGTTTAAGTATCAGAAGAACCAAGTTGGGGTGCCTAATGTTAAGGTGATCCGTCCAAACTTGTCATTACGTGTAAAGAGTCGAGGAAGGTGACAAGCCTAAAGTCTGTTGAGCTGTAAAACAAAAACATAAAAAATCCCCTTTGATATATAATTCAAGATGCATTATAATACATCTTGTTTATAATTACCAGGGGTCCATTTTGGTTAATTTAGTTCAATTAAGAAACTCTTGTTAATTAACGACCCAAAAGGCTTTATAACACGAAGAAAATTTGGAAATGCCGACGTGTTTATTTTGTGTTTAGTGTTACGAGAATTTGTGGGTTCCTCCTTGATGGTGTTTTCGTTTAGGTTGTGTAAAGAGCAAACAAAAAACACTGAACTTGTTTGTAGCGAGAGATTAATGCAGAGCCTAAATTAGACTCCTTGGTGATTAGTTAATACCTAGAAAATGAAACCTTGCACTCAGACACAGCAGAAGAGAAAAAGATGTTAAGAATTAGTTTTAAGGCGTTGTATTTAGAAGTCTTTTTTTGCCTTGACTGTGTTGGCATCGATGGGGGGGGGGGGTGGCTGGCTGCTGGTGTGAAGAGACCCCACAAATATTTGACACTAAGGCAGTGAAGATGTGTCGGACACCCAAAGTCTAGAGTGCAAGATTATCATTTTTACGAGAATTTTTAAAGGAATATATATTTTTTTCTCTTTGATTCATCGTAGGACTTCCTGATTTATGCTGGATAATAAACGTTATTTATTGGACAGACCCCAAACAGGAGTAAAAAAAAACAATGCTTAGGTAACTCTCGGCATCGCGATACATCTATACATATGAAAACCCTTAAAAAAAATCGTATCCTCACTAGTTTAACTTTTTTATCTCTCTCTCTCTCTCTCTCTCTCTCTCTCTCTCTCTCTCTCTCTCTCTCTCTCTCTCTCTCTCTCTCTCTCTCTTCTCTCTCTCTCTCTCTCTCTCTCTCTCTCTCTCTCTCTCTCTCTCTCTCTCTCTCTCTCTCTCTCTCTCTCTCCTTGTTGGTTGACCTACTCCCCGTGGAATTGAAGGGCAGCCATCGATGAAATATTCTCCCCAACCATTCCTGTCACTGACCATCATACTTAACTCTAGCCTTTTACGTGTTGGTTTCCCCGTTACGGTTGAGAGGCGCTTGACGCTCGCTGGCCAACACAGACTAGAACATGTGAAAAAGATCGAATATTGCCTTTGCGACCATTCACGCTAAGGGGGAGTGGGGGGGAGGTAATGGAGATAAGGAAAAAAAAAAAGATAGATAAAAGAATGATTGGATTTAACACCATCGATAGACTAAAAAGTTAACACCCTTGCAAAATCTCAAATGATAATACGCTTCTGTTTATGCCGATGAAGGAGAGAGGAAGAAATTATCGTTGCCTGGGGTGTACAAGAAATTATCGCTGCCTGGGGTGTATTTTACGACTGTGTATTTCACACTTTGAGTAACAGACACAGGCGAATGAGTCACGTCTTGTGTTGTTTTTTTCTGTGATTAGGTTTATTTTACTGTATGTTTTTGAAGGAGTTGTCCGGGTGGTTTAATATTGGTGTGGTTTAAGATTTTGGTGGTTTAGTATAATTGATGTTACTTGGTTTTTGTGTGTGTGTTTATTTTTGGGGGGGTTAGTGTGTTTGTTTATTGGGGGTTTAGTGAAGAGTTTTTTTTTTAGGTTTTTTAGTTAGAGTTGTATGAATGGTTTAGTAAAAGTTGTATAATTTTCTTGGGTTTAATTAGTTGTATTTTTAGATATAGTTGAATAATTTTGTTTTGGTTTAGTTTATGATTAATTCAACTATAACACAACTGTAATTAAACCAGAGAAAATAGAGTTGATTGATGGATGGACGAACGGACGGACGGACTGATTGACTGACTGACTGACTGACTGATGAAGATGACCCGAAAATATGTAGAATGGTGGGCCGTGGTCGCCAACCCTTAGGCTCGAGGACACTTTTAATTAATGCTTCAAGATACTTATCGATTCATAATTTACTCGGGCGTTAATGATGAGATAAAAAGGTTAATAAGCCTTAGATCCTCCTCGTGTTTAAGATGGCCAAGCTAACTAGAGCAATTAAGAGCAATATTTCTGGAGCATTGTTAAGACATACGGCGTCATTAGTACTGGATTATTATTTAAAACTATGATCTATGTTGTAAAAATCTTTCGACTCATATTTCTTGTGAGGTTTTTCTCTCTCCTCCACCCCCCTCCTCCTGCTGCGTTTTAGTGTGATTTATCCCAGAGATTAAACCAAAACTAAGCGAGTTAAAATAAAATTAAAACAAAATAAAACAAAATTAAAACAAAATCAAGCAAAATAAAACAAAATTAAAACAAAATAAAACAAATTAAAACAAAATTAAAACAAGACAAAGCAATGTAAAACAAAATTAAAACAAAACAAAACAAAACAAAACCAAAAAAAAAAAAAAAAAAAAAAGCTGAGAGATATTGCTTTTAGGAGAAAATATTTGAGGTTGAAAGGTGAATTTGTCCTAGGCAGAGTCCAGCCCCCACTGAGACCCTGTTGTCCCTGATCCTACGACCGCCCACCTGCAACACTGCCTGTTCTCTCTCTCTCTCTCTCTCTCTCTCTCTCTCTCTCTCTCTCTCTCTCTCTCTCTCTCTCTCTCTCTCTTTCTTTTGAGTGTGTGTGTGTGAGCGTTACGTGAAGTTAACTATCCATGAGAGATATGTACAAGTAGTGTTAAAATATACATTGTTATACAGGTGATATTAAATTATACATTAAATTGATACATGCATGATATCGGGTTATACATAAAGTTAAATATAGATACTGATGAATTATGCATAGTTATATAGAGATACTGACGAATTATGCATAGTTATATAATATCAACATCTTGGCACAGACTAGTGTTAAGTGTGGTGTGTGGGCTCTCAGGCTGTAAGGACGGTCCATTGATCAAATAAGCTGAGATTTCCTCCTCTATCATCCCACCATTGTTCCTGTGGCAAGAAGATGTCAGAAGGTGTCAAAATGTGCTATGAGGTGTAAGAAGATGTCAGAAGGTGTCAGAAGATGTCAGAATGTGTCAGAAGATGTCAGAATGTGTCAGAAGATGTCAGAAGGTGTCAGAAGATGTCAGAATGTGTCAGAAGATGTCAGAATGTGTCAGGTGTCAGAATGTTTCAGAAGGTGTCAGAATGTGTCAGAAGATGTCAGAATGTGTCAGGTGTCAGAATGTTTCAGAAGGTGTCAGAATGTGTCAGAAGATGTCAGAATGTGTCAGGTGTCAGAATGTGTCAGAAGGTGTCAGAATGTGCTATGAAGTGTCAGAAGGTGTCGGAAGGTGTACGGAAGAGTCGTCAAAACTGGATCACTTGAGGGAACATTCACGATTCTCGGTGTTCATTGTACTCCTGTGTCTCTATTACAGCGTCGACGTCTTCCAGTACAGCGTCGACGTCTTGTAGTACAGCGTCGACGTCTTGTAGTACAGCGTCGACGTCTTGTAGTACAGCGTCGACGTCTTGTAGTACAGCGTCGACGTCTTGTAGTACAGCGTCGACGTCTTGTAGTACAGCGTCGACGTCTTGTAGTACAGCGTCGACGTCTTGTAGTACAGCGTCGACGTCTTGTAGTACAGCGTCGACGTCTTGTAGTACAGCGTCGACGTCTTGTAGTACAACGTCGACGTCTTGTAGTACAGCGTCGACGTCTTGTAGTACAGCGTCGACGTCGCCCATAAATCCTGGCAATCTGGGCGTCTTATGGTACGTCGACATCTTTAGCTATCGACGTCTTGTAGTACAAGCGTCGACGTCTTCCTAGTACAGCCATCGACGTCTCATCAGTACAGCGTCGACGTCTTAGCGAAAATAACGTCGACATCTTCTAGCGCGTCGGCGACTTTGTAGTAGCGTCGACGTCTTGTAGTACAGCGTCGACGTCTTGTAGTACAACGTCGACGTCTTGTAATACAACGTCGACGTCTTCTAGTACAGCGTCGACGTCTTCTAGTACAGCGTCGACGTCTTCCAGTACAGCGTCGACGTCTTCTAGTACAGCGTCGACGTCTTGTAGTGCAGCGTCGACGTCTTCCAGTACAGCGTCGACGTCTTCTAGTACAGCGTCGACGTCTTGTAGTACAGCGTCGACGTCTGTAGTACAGCGTCGACGTCTTGTAGTACAGCGTCGACGTCTTCCAGTACAGCGTCGACGTCTTGTTCTTCAGGATTTACAGAAGGCTGGGACGCTGGATTTGACTTAACCTAACCTAACCTAACCTAACCACAGATATACGAGGCGGTCTTAAAACTTAATATGATACGTCCTACCATTTGCCCTTTGACATTCTGCAGATTTGTAAAGTGAACTGAATTTATTTTACGATAAGTCTTTTGTTTTGAATGAGTTCTAACAAAATTACATTCAGTATAAAAAGAGTAAATTTAAATCACCCTGACAAGCATTATATTGAACCTCATTAAAGAAAAACTTAATGAGAACGTGTCGAAAGGCGATGTGAGACCGAGCATATCAGTAGACCAGGTGAAGACATGTTTGACACCACCCATCACTTTATTAACTGTTCCTACACGGTGGCTGGAAATAGACCCTCATCTCCAAGGTGTTGTAGCTATTATGTCTTTAAGGGACCGTCAAGCTTATGTCTCTCAGTTTCACGAATTAAATTATTACTTTTACCGGATTTTAAGTAGTGATGATTGGCTGGATTATCTACTATGAACTCCCGGTAAAATAACTTCGACTTATTCCCTTGTGTTACTGGCCAGTTTGTTGGTGGTGGTGGTGGTGGTGGTGGTGTGGTAGTAGTGGTGGTGAGTAGTGGTGTAAGGGTGTGGCTGGGGTGGAGGAAGGTTGGGGTAATGGTGGTGGTGTAGGGGTGGCTGGGGTGGAGGGAAGGTTGGGGTAGTGGGGGGTGGGACTAGGGTTGGAATGGCTGGAGAAATGGTGGTGGAGGGAGAGACTGGTGTAGTGGGGAGAACTATGGGGGGGGGAAGGTGGTGGGGAGAACTAGGGGTGGGAGTAGCTGGGGGAGGTGGGTGTCATGTCCCAGTTTTCCTGCACGACGTATGGGGGGAATAAATTGATAAAGTTTAAATTAATTAGTTTAACTGTGGTAACTCAGCCCGTCGTCAGCACCAAGGTTAGATTAGATGAACAGTTCTATTATATGGTGTTACCTGTTCTGCAGTCTGATAAATGATTGAAAAGGTAAACAAACAGAATATTTTGTGGATTACTTTAGGATAATACACACCGATGCTAACCTAACCTAACCTATCCTAACCTAACCTAACCTAGCCAAATTTAACCTCACTCCTCTTCAGTTGCAATAAACTGGGGTGCATAATATACAGTCGCAATAAGCTGGGGGTACTTAATCACCAGGTGAAATAAGCTGGGTGGATGGGGGAGCTAATCCTCATATAATCCGGTAAACCTCCCTCACGGCACGCGGCTAAATATCCGGTTTAAAAAATCCATCAATTTAGTCGTGAAAGTCAGTCACTAATACACGCAGGTAAAATATACATGGTCATTACTTTACGAGCATCCATAGACCATTTACCAACAATATACAGGTATACTGAACACACCTGGGCGGGGCACAGGTGACACAGTATAACAGGTATGATAATCCTCGGTGGAATTGATTGTTAAGTATTTTATCCTGAGAGCTTTGAGGACATACAGTACGTTGTGGGTTAGTGTAACCTGGATGGTAATTAAGGGTTTAGTCAAGGGAGGGATGGTGGTAGTGTGAGGAAGAACTCTTGATGGCTTGTTCAGTGTTGGTGTTAGTGGTGGTGGTGATAATAATACTAATAATAACAGTAATAATAAATTGATACTACTACTACTATTACTATTACTACTACTACTACTACTACTACTACTAATACTAATAATAATAATAGTAAAATAATGATAATGATCCTACCACAACAACAACAACAACAACTAATAAATAATAATAATAATAGTCAATCTTATTAAATTGTTATAGATAGGATAAATTAACTTACAAAATCAGTGAAGAAAAAAATCAACACAACAAAAATAATCAGATATCTTACAGAGCAGCATTAGAAAATATTTATCCAAAACGAGAATGTCACTTTATACCACTTAAACGGCGCAATAATGTGCCCCCACACGTTACAGCTCTGTATCAGCCCGACCACTGGTTTAATTAACCTTTAGTTCAGATTCCACATTTTTTAGCTTGAATAAATTAAATCTGGATAGTTTTTTTGTTAATCGGTGTAAAATAATAAATTGTGTTTGTCATCAGTCAACTGTACGGAGAGTTATGAAGGCTGGTTTATGTAAATGACCGATAAATGGTTTTTGTTTGCAAATAGTAAATCACTAAAGTAAATTAATCACTTGGGGATTTATCTTTTCTCTAATTTTTTTACGATTTGATGAGGTGGAGCGTATTGTATCGTGGTGCTGTCCTTCTGTGTGTGTGTGTGTGTGTGTGTGTGTGTGTGTGTGTGTGTGTGTGTGTGTGTGTGTGTGTGTGTGTGTGTGTGTGTGTGTGTGTGTGTGTGTGTGTGTGTGTGTGTGTCTCTGTCTATGTCTCTGTTTATGTATGTATGTATGTATATGTATGTATGTATGTATGTATACATGTATGTATGTATGTATGCATGTATGTATATGCATTATGTATGGATATGTATGTATGTATGTATGTATATGTATGTAGCAATGTATATGTATGTATGTATGTATATATGTATGTATGTATGTATGCATTTATGTATGTATGTATGTCATTACCAAACACACACACAACACACACACACACACACACAACACACACACACACACACACACACACACACACACTGACTCACCTATATCGTGCCAACTTTTGAAGCCTAAATATGACACCTTAAAGACGCCATTAAATTCTCTCACTGAAGGTTGACTGAGCCTACCTGGCCAAATAAGACCATTAAATTCTGAATCATATTTATGGAGACAGACAGACAGACAGGCAGACAGGCAGACAGACAGGCAGACAGGCAGACAGACAGGCAGACAAGACAAGACAGACATGACATACAGACAGACAAAGACAGACAGATTACTTGAGGTATAAAGAAAAATGTTGGAAATAAATACAATGTTTTAACTATTTTCTTGTGTTTATCTTGTTAACTCGATCTAACGGACTAACCTTATAACGGACTTGGATCTAACGGACTAACCTTATAACGGACTTGGATCTAACGGACTAACCTTATAACGGACTTGGATCTAACGGACTAACCTTATAACGGACTTGGACCTAACGGACTAACCTTATAAAGTGATAACAAAAATAAAATAAAAACCTGTCGAAAAAACACAAAAGTATTACAATGCCGTAGTGGATTATGTGTTTGTTTGTGTTTGTTTTGTTTTGTTTTTGTGTTTGTTTTTGTGTTTGTATTTGTTTGTTTTTGTTTTTATTTTTGTTTCTTCCCTTCCACTCCCCTGGGCTTTCACAAAAACTAGTTGAGCTTAACGATCTAATCTGTGTATTAGCTGATTCACCATCGTTGGGGAGGGGAGGGGGGAGGGAGGAGGAGAGAGGCGGTGAGGAGGGCTGTGTGGGGGGTGAGGGGAGGGTGGGGAGGGGGCTGTGTGGGGGTGGGGGAGGGAGGGAGAGTGGGGAGGGGGGGCTGTGGGGGGTGAGGGGGAGGGGAGGGGAGGGGAGGGGAAGGGGGCGATTACCTTACCATTATATAAAACCACTGTGTTAAAAGTCACGCAAACATTAAATACACAACAGTTCTTAGTTTAATTACAAGTCATTTAATCCTTGATAATTATCCTTCGTTATTTGAATTACAATCCAATTACACGTCCAAATTACCCATGTTTATTTTAATTACAAGACATTGGTTTTGATTTATCTCTTTTGACTTCATATTTTATTGTCTTATTAGAGCGGATTATCTGAGGCTCGCAAAGAATTATTGAATGATTTTAGGTGTCAGGTATCCTGCAGTTGCAATATAATGAAGTTTAGTTGGTATTGCAATTGCACACCTGAGATTAGGGTCAGGTCTGCCGTTAATGGTGGAAGTGTCTGAGGAAGGTGAACTAAAGTAATGAGGATTATTAATTAAGTTTACCTGGTTAATGTTCACCTGAGTGGCCATATCTAGAACACATGGGTAGATTAAGGGGGGGGGGGAGGTTAATCCGCCTTATAAAACATACAAGGTGATTTAAATACTTATGTCTTTGTATACGTTCAAGTGTACGAGTACATATCACTGTAATGTACTCAAACATGTGTACTCATAAGTGTACTACTAAAACATATTACGTATAGTGTGACAGGTCATTTAAATATTGTGGCCCCATACTTATTAAAAAGGAAATTTTTTTTTGACATTTTCAGAACCCTTTTTAAAACACGACACCCAAATTCCCCCTACCCAATCCACCCTTCTAATCCCCTCTATCCTCTCAAATTCCCCTTTTCAACCTCCCCTCTCCCCTACAAAAGTTCCCCCCTTTCGTAAAATATATATTAGCATTTTTTTACCAAGCATTTTCCAACAATTGTAACTCTTAACTCTTGTAAAAAAAAAAAAATAAATAAAAATAAAAATAAATTCACACCGAAAAATCTTTAAAAAAAAATCCGAAAATTTACGAATGAACGAAATTGTCAAAAGTATCCGACTCTTTGTTTATACTTTTAGGTGAGGATAAAAAGCGAGGTAGTAAGCCAGTAACACACTTAGGTAGAAGCTCACCTGGCCACAATAGGTTTATACTGTGTCGAGGTTTTGTTTTAGTTTGTGTTTTTTTTTTTGGTTTAATGCTATTTTCTTTTATTGATATGGACAGAATAGTGTTTGTGTTTTTTTCGTTTGGGTGATATTTTTTATTTAATAGAGCATCATCACTACTATCACTATCACCACTAGTCACCACCACCACCACCACACCACTCAGGAAACATCACAATATGAAGACGCCTTTAGGCCAAGGTCCATTAACCTAACACGAACGACACCAACAGGTAATTGATCCCACTTTATATGACACACCTGTGGACCCTAAAAGTGACAGTCTAATCCTTAACTGTTTTGATCTTTATTTAACTTTGACACAAGAGTCGAATTTGTTGGAGTGTGAACCTCGACTTGGTCCCGTTGCGTATTCATGAGACATCTTTTGAATATTTACTGTAGGTTTGATTCCATTCATGAGTCGAAGCTCCGGGGGTTTGGGTTTTGATATTCGAGCCTCCCGTGACCTTCCCCTACCCTCCCATGACCTTGCCTTCCCTCCCGTGACCTTGCCTTCCCTCCCGTGACCTTGCCTTCCCTCCCGTGACCTTCCCCTACCCTCCCATGACCTTCGCCCACCCCTCCCGTGACCTTACCCTCCTCCCCCTCCCTGTGACCCCCTCCCTCCCCCCACCCTCCCCCTCCCCCTCTAACCAAATCTCACCCACTAACCATGTCCCAACACACACACACACACACACACACACACACACACACACACACACACACACACACACACACACGCACACGCACACTCAGTAATTGCCTAAACACCTCAGTAGCTGAAAGCGAAGTGAACACATAACATCAACACATCTTTAAGAACAAACCACAAACAATAACAATAACATTCAAACAACAACAAGAACATCAACCAAGTCACTAAGAACAAACCACAAACAATAACATTCAAACAACAACAAGAACATCAACCAAGTCACTAAGAACAAACCACAAACAATAACATTCAAACAAGAACAAGAACAAATGAGAGAAGAACAAGAAGAACATCGGGTTTATTCAACAAAAGAAATACAAAAACGTCAACATTTAATATCAGAACTTGTCTCCTACCTGAGGTTTATTTATATATGTTTACTGAACGTCTCGCAGTGAAAGAGAAACACAAGTTGGTGAGGTATTTCTTTCCTTGAGAGAGAGAGAGAGAGGATGGTTGGATGGATAGACAGATAGATATATAGATATTGTATATTATATATATTTTTTTTTGCATTTTAAATTTTATTGAAGCTTCTAGTATGATTTATTCTATTCAAACTTTTTTATTAATTTATTTTTTCAGTTTAATCAAAAATTTTGCCTCAGTTTACGTATTGTGTTTCACGTGAAGACTCAGGTATTGTTGTTTTGACGTCATCGTTAATTACATTGTTCTCCTCTACTCCAGGTGTCTTTTTTTAATGTTATTTTTCTTATATATTTTTATAGTTTATGTTTAGGATGCTTTTGTTTCTCTTAATTTTCGTATTCTCTTACAACCAGATGACAAATATTGTTTTTGTTTTGCTGTTGTTGTTGCCAAAAGTCTGGGAGATATTTTGCAGTGTTACGTAGGCTTAGCTTAGATTAGGTTAGGTTTCTCTTTGTTATAAATCGGAATTAAAACACAAACCTGAATTATAAACAAAAAACAAATGAATAATTGCTTTTGTTTCCAATTGATGGACAGTTTTTATTATTCATTCTGAGTCAAACATGAAAAACAAACATAAAAAAGCACCGAGTGAATAGATTGTTTATTTACTAGCTGATGAACGTTGTAAAAACACACACACACACACACACACACACACACAGCATAACACAATGAAAAATCTAAGTTAAATTGACGTTAAAATCCAAATCGCATTATTTACAAACACTAACATTTAAATTACTTACCAGATATTGCAAAAATATTTCGACGGGAGTTTTGTCCATATTTACGTTACGACTTTATGCAATACTTTGTCTTTCAATTTTATAGTTTTAATAATTATAAACTTTTACTCATGTGGTTTAATATTACATAAACTGGTGGATATTAATTATACTTTTCATAATATTGGAAAAGTTTTATGTACTTTTTTATACCGTTGAAATGATATATAATTACGTTGCTATTTTTCTTGAGGATTTTTTTTAATATATATTTTCATGGGTTGAGTTCAAGGGGGGGGATCACGTGAAGATTAGACACCCTGTTTTTTTTAACCTGATGATTAACCTCTACTAATGCTATCTTGGGGGGTCAGGTCAGGTCAGGTCAGGTTAGGTTAATGAGACGGTAATTATATCTGTAATTAGCCAATACAAATTCATCCAGAGTAATTATTATTGAAGCTTTTAAGTCTCTGAGGACATAATTGTTTTGTTCTGTGGTATAGACGCGGTGTTGTATCGTGTGTATGTCTAGTATCAAGCGAATATCTTTAGTTATTACCCACAGAATGGCATCATTAAGCGTATTAGTTATATCGTGTTATCTGGTGTTGTTATCTGGTGTTGTTATCTGGTGTTGCTATCTGGTGTTATCATCTTCCTACAACATTATAAATAACTACTAAGTGTGATAATATAAGGAGTCTTATTATTTGTTGTAGATACGAAGCGGTAGGGACCCACTCAACCACTTGATGTCTTAATAACAACAACAACAATAATAATAACAATAACAACAACAATAATAATAATAATAATAATAATAATAATAATAATAATAATAATGATAATAATAATAATAATACTAATAATAATAATAATAATAATAATAATAATAATAATAATAATAATAATAATAATAATACACAAAAACTATAAAAATATCAAATACTATAAACATAATTAAATTAAATAATTCCACCTCACTGAATATTTTCCACTAAATATGTAAGACTTCCTGTGAGATAATCTGTGAACTAAGGGAAATATGTTTTAGGGTGTCTAATTTTAATGTGGCTCCTAATTTCTTTTACATACGAAGCCTTTATGGAAGTTTTTTTTAGCGTTCGTTGTTAGTCATGACCCTTAGTTGACGTCATGGCCCTTAGGTGACGTCATGGCCCTTAGGTGACGTCATGGCCCTTAGTTGACGTCATGGCCCTTAGGTGACGTCATGGCCCTTAGTTGACGTCATGACCCTTAGTTGACGTCATGACCCTTAGTTGACGTCATGGCCCTTAGGTGACGTCATGGCCCTTAGGTGACGTCACATTAGAGTCGGGGGAGGGGGGGCGAGGATAGTGTTACTCAGTATTATTCTCATGGTGTTTGGACGAGAGAAGGTGAGAGAGAGAGATATTGATTCCAAGGCGGTGGTGCTGATGTTTAGAGATAGTGAGGATGGTGGCGCTGATAAACAGCCCTGATAGACAGACAGATAGACACGCTCAGACAGGCAGACAGACAGACACACACACACAGACATGCGCAGACAGACAGACAGATAGACAAGTACAAACACACACACACACACACATAGAGATCTTTACAGTACAATACACAAACGTAAGTATAATATTTTGGATCACATGGAGATTAGTCCCAAGGCCTTATTTTCCTCTAAAGTAACCAAAGTTAACATAAGTTCCCGACCAACAAAACATATATATTTTTATTTATTTATTTTTATTTTGTGTGTGTGTGTGTGTGTGTGTGTGTGTGTGTGTGTGTGTGTGTGTGTGTGTGTGTGCGTGTGGCTAACTATTACAGAAGGTTACATCATTATATAACACTACGGATATCAACACTACAGTAGTTTAATGTAGTTGTTACGTCTGTTTACACCAGTTTGTGGAGGAGAGTTTTGTATTGGCGAAGTTAACTGAGTGAGTCATCAAGGCGAGCGTCGTGCGAGGAGAACTTTATAAAGAAATGACTTTGACACTATATAAAAGATATCTATCTATATAAAGTTTATCCATTCTATATCACAGCTTCATTTAAATAATATAAAGTTGTGGTAGAGATGTGTTAGGGTGTGTGCGTCTCTTGTGAGGTGCTGCACAAAAGGGAGGCCCATGATAACTTACATACACCGTCGTGGAGGCCCACTGAGAGAGGGGGGCGGGAGGTCACCGTGACGTGTGACATAATCTTGGTGGGAGTTACCTGGGGAGGGACACACACACACACACACAGACGGTATGTGAGCATTTCGTCACTCACCGTCACTTGGGAGTTACGGACGTGTTTAAACATGTGCTGTTTTTAGTATAAGTGACTCGTGGAATAGACTTGTTCCTGAGCTCAACTTTTAGGCTATGTAAGCTACGGTTATCTTAACTTGGTGATACTGAAGTACCGGCAAGTTGTGTCTCTTATCAGCACCAAACTGACCTAAGTGACTTAAGGTCTTGTTACCTCTAACTCCTTAACATCAATATTTATCACAAGTAATGAGTGTAACGAAAATTAGGGTTATCTCAAGTTTATATCAATATATATACATACATATATATATATATATATATATATATATATATATATATATATATATATATATATATATATATATATATATATATATATATATATATATATATATATATATATATATATATATTGAGATCTGATACAACAATGAAGGCAGCAGGCCAGCACTCCCCCCCACCACACACACCGCCACACACCTCGCCTCGCCTCGGAGAAGTGGGTCCCAGAGCGAGGATGTGCGTATCGTCGCTCCAGAGGCCAGGCAGACACTGAGGCCTGGGCTGGCTTGGAGTTGCAACTGCGCCCTCAACACCACAGCTCAGCACAGCTCTCCCACCGACTAAAACATCATCTTTCTTTTCGGCGTAAACTGTTCCCTTTGTGTTTACTAATCATACAGCTTCGTTTTATCCCGCCTCGGGTTTGGGGTGGTGAGATGCGTTCCGGGAATCGATAATCGTAATGAAAGTTCTGAGAACGACAAAAATACTTCACTTTTGTTGGAACATTTACGAGAAATTGACCATTAGTTGAGGAAAGTTTATCACACTCCTAAATTACAAGACTTTCATATGGCTTCTGTTTTGGCATCAACACTTTTATCTGTATTGTATTCAACAACAAAAAATGTCTTTGTATCAGTATCTGTAAACATGAGAGTTGTTAATACTACTGTCCTTTGTTTAATGTTTGTTTTATGGTATCATTAACACACACACACACACACACACACACACACACACACACACACACAAATCTTACAGGTTAATGCTCTTGTTGTTATCACAGTTGTTGTTAGTGATATGGTCATGGAAATGTCATGGAAAATATAATTATGATTTATATGGCAACTCTGTGATTGAGAAAATAAAACTACTTTCTCATTTGATTACTTTAGAAGAAATTGAAAATTTAGAATTCTTATAAAATTTCGGTAAATTGTGAGAAATCCTTCATCCAATATTGCTTTCTTTTACAGGGCGAGAAGTCATGACTTAACACAAGGCACTAAGAATAGTCTCAGGTAAGTACAAGTTTACCGGTTTAGAATTTTAACTCATTAACGTAACATTGATTGAGGTTATTAAATCTGCACATGTAAATTTAAAGGTAATGAACTGTTCAGTATTGCTGGTCCATAAACCACATATTTGTGATTTGTTGACCCGTGAGCCTCGATGTGTCAGGGGAGGATATTAGACATTTTCTCCCTGTTATACTGTATTGTACTAACACCTGCCCCGCCAGTGCTGGAAACGTATAACGGTGCCAACTTCAGGTAGTGAGACACACTGATGCTTATTCATTGTTCTGCTCTAGGGTCCAGTTCTACTAACACACATTTGTAGATGGTTAGTGTTTTTAGGTCACCTCAAGATGCCATGAAGACCAAGTGAAGGAACGGTGAGATTGTGTGATGGTGGAAGAACAAGAACTGAAACTGGTGACGTCAACATTGCTGTAACACCTCCTCCTAATACTCAAGGTAAATTATTTGTTTTTTGTTTCATAATTGTTGGTTGGGAGGATATATTCACTTAATAACTCGAAGTCTGGGTAGTTAAACGTTCTCAACCACCGTCATAGTCTTCACAATTTTACTAATCTATCTGTGAAAATTCTGTTAGTACCGCACATGTAATTTTTCTTATGCGCAAAAATCAACGGAATTTTTTAACTCAACGTTTTAAGAGGAACAGGTACGGGACACTGTGATCCGCCCAGCGTTTGTGGCTAGAGGAGATAACGCGAGCCTTACACCTACCGTCATTGTCGTAATTTATTTTAATTAGACACGTGATTTTGGGCTGCAGTTGTAACTTCATAAAGACCGTTTAAATCATCGTCCTCAAAGGGTCAAATCATCGTCCTCAAAGTGTTAAATCATTGTCCCCATAGGGTTAAGCCATCGTCCTCAAAGGGTTGCATCATCGTTCGGTAAGGGTTACATAATCGTCCTGTAAGGTTTAGGTAACACGTACAAATATAACAAAACAAACAAAATAACATACACAATAAATAATGTATTGACGCTAAATACTATTACTACTACTACTACTACTACTACTACTACTACTACTACTACTACTACTACTACTACTACTACTACTACTACTACTACCTGCCATTAGACCCTTGTTAATAATGTATTTACAATTAATTCCTAACTAGATTTACCTGAGGCAACACAGTGCTATACCGGAGCTCAGGTGTTGAATATTCCAAATGTAATCTAATCTTGTTGTATATTTCCTGAAGGTGTGCGAGTGAGTGTGTGGTGATTTACCTGACTGGTGGAGGTTTATGAAATTAGCCTTTGTTTACTGGTTGACGTTGGATGTTTTTATTTTATTTTTATTTTAATTTTTACGTGTTTTTACTGGATGACGTTTGATGCAGCTATTATTATTTACTTTTATGTGTTTGTAATGATCTTAATGAGTTTTATTTTTTTTTTTTTTTTTGGGGGGGGGGGAGTTGTTTTATTTTTGTTTTATTTTTAAGCTTCACGTGTTAGAATTTGTAGTCAACTTTGGGATATTTTTTTGTTTATTCTTTAACATATTCAAGAAATTTATAAACAAAGAAATAAACACCTGTCCCCCGCGATGTACAGGTAAGACTTAATTAATTACTCCTATACGGATTACAGTAAGGACCTTAATACGGGTCTTTATTGGGTGATGGTAGACAGATTTATGCAGAGTTCAGAGAGCCAGTCAGAGAGCCAGCCAGAGAGTCAGCCAGCCAGCCAGCATCTCAGAAAAAAGTGCGTTGAGCGGATGTCTTTC